ACACATTACAGTCATCTTGTTTATTTACATATCGGCCATTGTGAATTTCATACACAGGTGTATGATAAACTTCTACACTGTGATATGAGGCTAGTGAATTACTTGCGCAACAAATTTTATTGGGATTATCGTGCAAATTAGTTACGCAATTTCTACAGGCTTCGTATTTGATTCATATTTTGATAATGATCAAAAGTATGTCTCGATTTTTAAGATGGAAAACTGAACTTATCTGCGTTAAATCTTCCGCAAATCCTATATTTAGAGACAATTACACTAATATTTATCCCTTTATATCTGTAATTTCGAACTGAAACATAATTATGTAATACTAAATAGAGGAATAAATGTTTGTCCAATATGGCGGGTGGTTGTGTATAATCCATGGCATCATCCATGTTGTCTTTAGGTTATTAGAATATTTTGGTGTTGCCCGCAGGTGTTATACAACAATTTGACAAATGTCTGAAATGAAATACAGACAGAGTCGAACGATTTACCGAGAATTTGTACCAGATCTATATCTTCTGTTTGAATAGTTGATAAAACATTTTGAACCAATATGCATGCGTTGTTTGTCTTAAAACATTGGTTATCGCATTTTAACAAAAATATGACAGCAGAAAGTTAGGTTATGGTGAAGTTGTTTACCAACATATTTAGCATATGTACAGCCTTTAACAGTTACTAAACAACAGTTGTATAAGTGCTTCTGTTGGGAGCAGTTTGTTGGCTGTTGGCTAAAGTAGTAAAGTGCACAGCAAAACAACAAGGCTCGGGTTTGTTTTATAAACGTTACCATGAGATGCCACCACACAACCATTTTGACTAACGTGCAAATATGCCTTATAAAATAGTTGTATAAACGGTTATGCAACAGTTAAAAATCTGCCCTATAAGGTGTTGTATAACTATGCTACAAGAATATTTTAAACACCTCACTTTAGAGCAAATATGTTGCAGAAAGCAACTTTGCATTCCACACAACATTAAGCCAGCATTTTGGTGTTCAGGCAGCAACAATAGAGAGCTTTCATGGCTGAACGGTTTTTTTACCAAAAGTTTATACCACTACTTTGCTAGTTGGGGCGACTCACCCAGAGTAGAATCCAGTTCAGCTTTTATATGGGGGGGCTGAGGCCTTTGAAATAAAAGTATTGTACCACATAACGATGACCAATTTTCTCCATTTTCACAAATTCACTGAAAACGTTCAGTATTGATGGCTGCCAAACAAATACTAAACAACGTGGCGTCTTCAAACTTGACACATATGCATTATAGGTTGCATATTTTCTAATACAATGATATTTTTCAAACAACTATTGCCATCTCTAGGTCACTTCTGGGTCCACCCTCTACACCGGCTGAATCTCTATCTATGTTAAGAAACTAGTTACCATATACAAAGTTTGGGGAGATCTGCAAAAGAATGCAAGCAAAACACAAAAAGTGTTTGAGCAATGTCGAGACGACGTTGTCACGAATTTGGAGAATCTGTTGAGCATGGCGATGATGTTCAATTTATAAAGATAAAAGAAAATATCCCAACTAGCAAAGTAGTGTTAGGTATAAGCTTTTGGTAAAAGAACCGTTCAACCATAAAAGCTCTCTATTGTTGTTCCCTGAACACCAAAATGCTGGTTTAATGTTGTGTGGAATGCAAATTTGCTTTCTGCAAAATATTTGCTCCAAAATGAGGTGTTTAAAATATTCTTATGTCATAATTATACAACACCTTATAGGGCAAATTTTTAACTGTTGCATAAACGTTTATACAACTATTTTATACGGCATATTTGCACGTTAGTGAAAATGGTTGTGTTGTGGCATCTATGGCAACGTTTATAAAACAAACCGGAGCCTTGTTGTTTTACTGTGCAATTTACTACTTTAGCCAACAAATTGCTCCCAACGGATGCACTTATACAACTGTTGTAGTAACTGTTAAAGGCTGTACATATGCTAAATGTATTGGTATACAACTTCACCATAACCTAACTTTCTGCTGTCATATTTTTTGTTCTAATGCCATAACCAATGTTTTGAGACAAACAACGCATGCATATTGGTTCAAAAGGTTTTACCAACTGTTCAAACAGAAGATATAGATCTGGTACAAATTGTGAGTAAATCATTCGACTCTGTCGGTATTTCATTTCAGACATGTCAAATTGTTGTATAACACCTGCAGGCAACACCAAGATATTCTAGTAAACTAAAGACAACATTGAGGATGCCATGATTCTACAAAACCACCCGCCATATTGGGCAAACATGTATTCCTCTATTTAATATTGAATAATTATGTTTCAGTTCGAAATTACAGATATAAAGTGATAAAAATTAGTATAATTGTCTCTAAATATAGGATTTGTGGAAGATTTAACGCAGACAAGTTCAGTTTTCCATCTTAAAAATCTAGACATACTTTTGATCTTTATCAAAATATGAATCAAATACGCAACCCGTAGAAATTGGGTAACTACTTTGCATGATAATCACAATAAAATTTGCTGCGAAAGTAATTGAAAAGACCTATATCACAGTGTAGAAGTTTATCATATACCTGTGTATGAAATTCACAATGGCCGATATGTAAGTAAACAAGATGACTGTAATGTGTTAGTTATATATTCTTCACTTCGTCACTTCTAACAGGATAGTTGTTGTATAGTTGACAAAAACTGAATCTTGTACCGACGCAAATGTTCTATAGCGGCTGCAAGAGGTTTACACTTTTTTTGTATAACTGTTATCTGCAGCCCTTATACAACCCCTTAAAATGACTGAAGTGTCCTATTAGGTGTGCCCATTTCGCTTGTATAGCTGTTCTAAGAGCATTTTGCCAATGTTCTTACAGCATACAATTCTGGAATACTGTATAATCATTCTTGCAACTCTAATAGGACTGATAATTGTTAGTTGTGATAGGATATTCTTGCAGAGTCGATCTGGTCATTTAGATGGCGTAGACAAGAAATTAGCCATAAAAGAAGAAAAGGCACATCTTAGGAACACTGAAGAACAAAAGCGGCGAGCTATTTGTTTGCTTTCTCTCCTCTCCTTCGACATCATCTTACAAACCAGTGCAAGAAAATTCATCTTCAGATTCAGAGATGGATTTACAAGAAACTTTGCCGATCCCAACTCAGAGCACACAGCCTGATACTATCAAAATTAAATCTAGAGGAATTTCCTAAAATTAATGGCAGCATCCGATAGGTATCAGTTTAGTATTATAATTGCTGTTCTCATTATTGAAGCCACCATTAAGGCACTTGGACATTACACTGACGAGTTTTCTATAATCGGGTCGTCCATTCAAGGAATTTATACCGAAAAGCGAAAGGAGCGCGTAGGAGCTATAAAGCTTAATTTCCAAAGCGAGGTACCGGATACTGTAGCTGTCCACTGGGATGTCAAATTATGTTACTACGACCTTCAAATCGCAAGTCTAAAGAAGAACGTCTACCGGTTGTTATAATATATGAAAGTAAAGAGCAACTTAACGCTGTGCCCAAATTGGATAACGTTTCAGGCAGTGGGCAGGCTCAGGTAGTTTGGTTATCTTGAAGATAAAGTTTAGATGCTCTGTTGTGATACTTCTGCTTCAAATACATTGCATTAACGGTGTCTGCGTGCTACTCGAACAGAAACTTAATAAAGAAATGCTTATTTTTGCTTGCCGCCATCACGTCTAGAATTGGTGTTGAAAGGCTTCTTTGAATTAAAGATCGAGCCAGTGACTACAAGCCCTGACATTTCAATGTTTAAAAAGTCTCGTGATAGCTGGAAAAGTGTGGATCCCGAGAAAATACGGATTTATACTGAAAAGCTAATAAATTTAAGGCGGCACTGTTGGATATGTGCCTGTTCATCGTTACACACTTTACTGGTAAAAGCGCCTAACCAGGATTTATGCTTTCAAAGGCAATTAAGGCTTACGAAGGAATTGACAAAACCATATCAGAACCAGCTTTACAATAGTTATGCCAACATTTGTGGTATTTGACAGATGAGGTATATGTTTTATCTCTGTTTGACGACGACGTAGATGAGGAAACTAAAGTGGAAATTGTTGCCAATTTAGCTAAAGAAAGTTTATCAGCCACGGTAAATTCCATCGAAAGATGAACTTCCTACCCCACTTGTGACGAAAATGTTCCTTTTCCTTACTTTACTGCTTCGATATAATATGCTAGCAGTTAAAATAAGCCAGCATAAACTGCGATTCTGGTAATATATGGTGTATATATACTGTCTTGTTTCGATAGATTTTAAACCTCAGATAGAGTTCAGCTGCTATGCTTTCGTTCGTTGTTCTGACCTAGCTTAGATGATGCTGATGAGTTCCTAAAAAGCACAAAACATCGGTCCATGGTTGACTGTCTGTGGTCGGACGGACAAAACCAGTATGTTTAGATTGACGCTATTCTTCGTTTTCTCATTTCAGAGAGAAATGTCGATGATTCTGTTTCAACCAAATGCAAGTACTTGTTCAGTCGTCAATATGAACAGGTTCTGGCCACGCTTACAAGATCTGCCGGGTGGTACCTCCGCGTTCGACAGTCAGAGACCATCTACCATCTACAGCCAGTCGCAACATCCATAGCCAAGAGGAACGTTTCCCTTGAGATGGGATTCGAACCCGCGCAAAGCACAATGATTGGTTAGTAGACCCATAATGTCCGCCGCTGCTGCCTAAATTAAAACAAAGTGTCTTCATTAAAAGTACACATTTAATAAGCGTTTTTAGGTTTGCTTTAAGACTGCGTGAGTTTAAAATGTATTTAACTGGTTTTAAAAGTAACTCAACGGCAGTTTTAGAAACAGTTGCTCAAGATAAAACTTTATGAAGGTTTTATTTTCGGTTTTACTAACAAGTTTCAGTGTGAGCCCTTTAACGCGAGCTTACTACAGTTTTGAGGTTCATTTAAAAGCCAACTGGTTTTAACTGCAGTCTTATTCCACGCATCCGCAAACTACTTAGTAAGCCCGTTTGGTAGTATTTGGTATTAACCAATACATTCTAATCAGCTGTACTGAGCATGCTTCTGGGGTCTACATTACAGTAATAGCTGGATTTTATTATAGAAAGCGAAAGTCCAAGGAGAAGATAAAGTGAAATTAAACTGCGGAAGTTTGTTAACCTTTTATTGCTAAATGCTGACCCACACTCAACAATATATGCAACTTTTATCACTAGCTTCACTATTGTAATCTTTGCGAAGTTATTAATTCATCTAAAGAAGTGCAGTTTATTCATCTCAAACTGTAGCATCTGAAATGATTCGGAAGTCAACTGAATTTATTAAATATGAACTCCAGGAAATTTCATTAAATTGAATCTAATTGAACATATTTTTGTGATGTAAGTTTGCAGATGATATATAGATGAATTTTGACATTCTGCTAGATAACCATTTCGAACGATAATGATATATACAAGGTTACAAGGAGTTTCAAAATGAAATACCACATGACCCTTAACTTAAAAAAAAGTAATAGTCAACTGCTACTTTTACGCTAAAATATATTAATTATGTATCAATTTTATCACCCGAATCTCAAGTTAACTAACTTGAACCATACAAAAAGTAAAGCGGGGAAAAGGGCTTTTTGAGAAGCTCGCACCTTAGCAAGCCCAACCGCCAACTACAACTCATCTTTCACATGGGACAGGAAATACGGTTTTTCCAATAACTTAATCTGTTTCCAGAACTCATGGTCGGAATAATCCGTCTTGGTCTTCACATCAATGCTTTCAGGATTGTCTATTTTGTGATACAGCTCCTCTGACGTAGGCTCCCATTCTCTGTCAAGAGCTTTAGGTTTTCTAGAATCACAAATGACAGAGGCCATTGTTGCCTTTAGGTCTTACTATCCAATCAAAATTGTTACAAGAAGTCAGACAATTAGTCAGTCAAAGATATAGCTTTTACACCACCACGTTTTATTTTTGAGCTACGATGTAAATGGAAATTGTAAGGTTTGAATTTTCCAGAGTTACTAACGTACAGTCCAAATATTAGTGACAAAAGATTTTGTTTATTTCATTCATCAGATCATCAAAAAGCAAAAAAATTAAGTTTCTTTATATGTACTCTCAAATATAAAATGTATGTGGACTTACCCATTATGCGCAAATGTATACAGTATGTCCAAACACATATCCTTCATTTTGATATCATTGTCTGACAAAGCCTTGAAAATCAGGCCGCCAAAGAAGTATATCATATCATCCCCATGACATACACCTGTGAGATATAGAAAGAGAAAAATTCTATCAAGATAGTTACTGTGAGAGATTTCAACTGTTGCATCTCGTTTAGGTTTAGTAATAGCCCCATATGAGTAGCAGGATCACGTCATACCTTCCTTACCTTCAATGTGTTCTGCACCAAATATGCTTTTCAGGGTGTTTTGTCCTGAATACCCAAATATGTTGAAGTATACAGGAGATTTGACAGCAGCAGCATGTACTTGAATTGACCGCTCCACCCCAATTCTTATTATAGTATCTGTCTCAAGCTTTAAAGAGAAAAATTGAATAGCAACATTTCGCTCGTTTATTACAAATATACAGTACGGTATCAACAAACGTCTCTGACTCGCTTTCGTAAATCGTTTCAATACGTTGAACAGTGATCAAGGACATTTTCAGGTACCTGTCAATGCCATGAGTCTACCTTGATCTTGCAACATAACAAAAGTATTAATACGTATTTCATTTCAATAAAACCCATGATCAAAACAAATACCCCCGAACACAAAAAGTTTCTTGGCCTTGCTGTTGCAAATTTTTCCAGTCAATTAAAAATAGTTCAATATTACCCTCAGAGCTCAATAGTATTGACTTAAGTGATATACGAGCCCCTTCCCACTTCAGTTGGCCCAACTATTGAAATCTTAGTTTTTTTCTTATCAAACACAAACAATAAAAATGTAGCAGGGTAATATAGGTTTAAAATATTAACAATGAATACTTTGATAATATATAGTAGAAAACACCAACTTTATCACTCCCTAATCAAATCTGCAGCATAAAAAGAACACATGTTGCAATTACAGCATATCAACCTATTTTCATTTCAATGCAAAATAAGTCTATAACGCATAGGTGGCTGTGAAAAATAAAAGCCATGACAATTGTTTTTATTAATGACAGCTGTCAGAATACGTTTAAAATAGTTTTGGGTAGTTAAGGTTTTCAAAATGGGTAGAGGACAGGTTATTAGTAAGAAAGTTCGGTTACTGATAATTAAATTTTTTAATTCTGGGAAATCAAACTCAGAAATTGCAACTTTGTTAGACTTATCGCGGTACAGTGTGAAAAATATTGTTAGAAGATATAACGTAACTGGTTCAGTTAATATTAAGCTACGGTATGTGAAAAAAAGTAATATCACAAATGCCGACTGAAGAACATTAAGAAGAATAATCGTGAAAAACCTTCGTGCCAATTATTTACAGTTAAGTGCTCTGTGGAGTGACGCTGCTGGAAGGAGAATTTCAGCACTTGCAAGGTAAGTTTTCTTATAAAAAGAAGTGAAGTAAAAACGCTAAAGTTGCACAACTTGTTTATAGGCCAAAGAAAAGCCACTATTAACTCCACTGCAAAAGAAAAATCGGCTTAGATGGGCTAAAGAATATAGACAATGGACACCTCAACAATGGTGTGCAATACAGTGGAGTGATGAGGCCCGATTCGAAGTTTGTGTTGGTGACAGTCGGTGGTGACAGTAGAGTTATTCGCAAAAAAACGAAGCATCCATGTTGAACGTCTGAAGAGAAAAGTAAAATTTCCAGCATCCATTATGGTCTGGGGGCGTATATCATCAAAAGGAATAGGAAAACTTCATTTTATTGATGGAAATGTGGATACAAACAAATATTTGGCAATTTTAGAAGAATCGCTTTTACCAGTGATGGAAGAATGATTGAGATCCGGCCAAGATTTTATGTTTCAGCAAGATGGTGCAGCGTGTCATACCTCAAAAAAGGCTATAAAATGGATGGAAGAAAATAATGTACCACTTTTGAAATCGGTTTCTAGCAGTCCAGATTGAAACTTTGTGGCACGAGATAAAAAAGGCTCTACGTTCTCGTACAATCACCGAACTGAGACAAAAGCTTCAAGAAATATGGGATTGTTTTACACCAAATTTTTGCCAAAACTTGGTTAACACTATGCCCCAAAGAATTTCAGCTGTAATAAAAAATAAAGGTGACGTTACCCAACGGTAATCTTTCAATTGTTGCTTTGTTAACTTCGTGCATTTATTCGCGCATTGTTTATTTGTTTAGATGTTCTATTAGTTATAGGTCTAAGTGATTTCAAATATGCATTTTTACGACTAGAGTTTATCTAAAATATTTTTGAGAAAATAAATTGTTTAAGAAGTAAATAGTTTCGTCATGTTTAGTTCATAAAGGCATATTTTGGTACAAATCTTGAAGTGGACCAACTGAAGTGGGAATTGGCTCGTAGGAATCTATTATAGTAATATAAGTGGACCTTAGTGATGATTACTTGTGACTTGTAAACCTGAATAAATTATAATATTTGTATAGAACACAAGATCTGTAATTTTGAATAAGAGTTTTTGTATGTGTGTTGGTTAATATTAATAATACAATGTAGGAGGATATTCCATAATTAACTGAGCATTCGCTAATAAGTAACAGCTGAGACCAAAATAAAGCATTTTAACCTAACAAGCTTGAGTACAATGTTGCGTATCTTCGTTTTACTGGTCGTCAATCTTTCTTGATGATTTTTTGCAATGATTCCAAAAAGCACAACTAATGTAAAACCTAGTATGTTTTGTCCTTTTGATATGTATCTCAAAATGAAGGTTATAAACTAAAGTAACCTTATATTAATATGTATTCACATGGTCATCTGCAGTGAATTGTATCGATTCAACTTTTGTATGTTGCTCAAATCAGAACTTATCGAGCTGAAGTTCTAGTTATAATTATTCAACACACATAGGCCGAACCAGCACTATTGATGTAGTTGCTGTAACTGAGGTTGTCTTTTCCACTTATCACTCTTTATTATTCGGTGCTTATTATGAAAACCGTGGTTTGCACTGGAGACTGGACACTCAGTAGTCAAAATTGCGTAGTGATGAGTGTGTTCGTCTGCTTGCTCCCCCCCTGTAGGTTCGGGGTTTGTGAAGCAACATCGTATACGGTCAGTCATCGTCACACAAACGGACTAAACAGATCCTATTTGAGCTATGACTCTAGTCTGAGGCATCACTTTTAAAAACATTTTTGCAAGAGGATTGTCACTATTTCTTTGTTGTTTGTTGTTCAGCTAGCATTACCATCCATCTTTAGAAACCTTGAATTCTATTAATTGAGATACAAATTGGATTTTACTCGTCGAACGCACCTTGACAAGATCTTCAAATGACATATCTTCACCAGACGTTGAATAATGTTGCTTGATCTTAAGTAAGGCCTCTTGCTGAACTGAGAGAGGAATGTCATCAGTTTGTATCATATAATGTCCAACTTCAGTCCACTGCTCATTCAGTTGCTGGATAGAATCTGTTATAACTGTAAGAATAGTTATTGAATAAGTTTGATGCCGGTAAAGTTATGATAATAGATTGGCCTTTCCAATTGGGGGTAATAAAATTGATGCATGACTATGTATACTAAGTGACATACAAATCCGTACACCCAGTTTAAATGGTTTTATTTTAATAAAATTTTGTATAAGTACTTAATGAAGCATAATAAGTAAATGATAAAAATTTCAAAACGATTGCACTGCTTTAAAGCCCTTTGACCTTTAATAATGTGTGGATGCACCCTGATGTGCTACGCATTCTCCAACGCGCCTAGGCGTGCTTCTGATCAGGTGGTCAATGTCCTCCTGTGGTATCTCATTCCAGGCAACCACCAACTCCTCTCGAAGTGCTTCTAGAGTCTGAGGAGGACGTTGCAAATTGAGCAATCTCCTACCCATCATATCCCACACGTGCTCAATTGGGGATAAGTCGGGAGACCTTGGTGGCCATGGTAACAATGTGACATCATTATGTTGAAAGAAGTCTATTGTGACTCTTGCAACATGTGGTCGAGCATTATCTTGTTGGAAAGTTGGATCTGCCAGGGTGTCAAGATAGGGTAAAAGATGGGGTTCTAGAACTTCGCGGATATAACGCTGCGCGTTCATGTTACCTCTGATGAAGATTAAAGGTGACCTGGAACCATAAGCTATAGCACCCCAAACCATAACTCCAACAGTGTGATGAACATGTCTTTCAACAAAAAACTGTGGATCCCTCCTTTCACCACGTCGCCTTCTAACCCTGGCACGACCATCGTGCATGCCTAAACAAAATCGAGACTCGTCACTAAAGACAATACTGTTCCATTCCTGATCCCAGAATGACTGTTGTCTGCACCACTCAAGGCGATTACGTCGGTGTTCTCGAGTTAAAGGGAGGACCCAGTGTGGCCGGTATGAAAACAAGCCAAAACTTCTCATTCGTCGGTAAACACTTCGCATGCCAATAGGTCTCCCGTGTTCTGCAAACCATTCATTTGCAATGGACCTGGTAGTGGAGAAACGGTCCCTTAAGGCCAATAATCTTAGGCGGCGATCTTCACGGTCTGTTGTTCTACGGCGGCGTCCAGTGCCCCTTGCTCTTTGCGTATGGCCTTCTCGAAGCCATGCCTGACAACACCTATCCACAGTGTCTACACTTCTTTGCACTCTAACTGCGATTGCCCGAAAAGGATGTCCAGAAAGTCCCACTATACGGCCCCTATCAAACTCACTAAGTTGACGAAATCGTACAGGTCTCCGTACTCTAGGCATCGTAACCGATCGTAAAGGATGTCAAGAACCAAAATCCGCCAACGTTGATTCTTTACTGCGGCTGAAATATTCATTTTTAGAGCGTTAGTGAATTAAACAAAAGCAGTATACAAACCGGAATGTCCAACTGATAAGGCTGAAAATTTTTTCACTTGTTATTTACAGTAAGATAAATACATTCACCAACTTTTATTAAAATAAAACCATTTAAACTGGGTGTTCGGATTTATATGTCACTTAGTATATTAGTGCAAAAGTGTTAGTTGAACATTTCAAGATGGCGGCTGGACGTCATTTTATAATTTTTTGAATGGAATCAGGGGTGTTGTGGTACCTCATTTTTGAAGCTGCTTATCAGTACTTTGAATGCTTAGAATATGAAAGTAGTCATAAGGTCACAAGATATCGCGCTGCTGCTTTTGAAATTTTCAACTGTTATCTTCACGTGACAATATAGTGTTAATACATCAATTCCACCACCACGAATTTCAGCTTTCCAGCTCAACTCGAATGGAAACTGATTAGGGGACTTCTGTATTTTGGTTTAGGTGACACAAAATGGACCACAATGCCTAAAAGTTGACAAAAAAAATACACATCATACAGCATTCACACGATGTTCAGTGCAGCGCAGTTTTTTGAAGTTGATGATTTCAAATCCGGTATTAGTTTGCCTATTTGAGGGCGTTCGTCTGTCACTTGAAGATCATATTAAGGGCACTCCCTAAGCAAGCCTAGCAGCTTGTGATGCTTAAAGTAAACACAAAACTGTTTTCTTCCTTTTAAACGACAACTCCATTATTTAATAAAAAATAATAGTGGTAGAGTAGTTCATATATTATAGGTGTTAGAGCGCAAAATTTCAAACTATCTCTACTTGCATACCTAGTCACCATCAGAGCAAAAATTTCACCATTCAAAGTAATGTACCATTTTAAGTAATAACTCCGGGAACTTAACTTAAAGTCCGCTCTGGAAACATTGGATGATTTGAATGGCGATCACCTACCCTTCAGTTACTACGGCACATTGTCAACCTCGAAATGCCTTTGGTGCAAGCCAAGCCTACGCCCTTCGGTTTGACCATGGCGGTCCAACCTTAGATAGGGTTGCTTTGCTTAACGGGAACTCAATTTATAGCCCATCGGCTCATTTTGCACCCCGCTATATGTGGCCTCACGATTCTGCTGAGTACTTGTGCACTGGTCGTGAGTACATAGAAAACTCGCGTCTGGATGCCTATTCATTTCTTGCTCTGAATCCGTTTGTTGTCTGCAGTTTTAATTGACCAATCAGCGAGAAGCTGCTCGGTCTCGCTTTCGAGCCACAAAAGTCCAAAAAATCGAACTATGACATTGGCTGAGATTAGTCAACGGATAAGTGCTGTGTAGGTTTTTGTAATTTTTTTAAAAATTAGGTTTTACGTTGCAGTACTTCATGTTCGACAAAGGCCATTAATCCCATTCTGGGAAATGGACTTTCTCAGTAATATATATAAAAGTAAAGGTAAAGATGGCAATCCGTTCAATGTACGGTGTACTGGATAACGGTAATAACGACAGATTTTTGTTACATTAAATGGAAATTCGTATTCTCGTTGTTATCATCCGTATTCAGATGTTCAAAAGATTTTGCCATGAAAAGCTGGGATTGAATAATACATCACAAATTTGTTTGTTTGGTACTCTGCTACCGTGAAGGTAGCATAAGCGAAGTTTTGGCCTTGAACTTATTATTTATCTTAGATATTGACTTTGAAACGGGTAAGAAGTTTAATTCATCACGGTTACCTTGTTTTTTAAATTATCGTCAGGTTTTTGCTGAAATCGGCTACTGTGCAACAGTGTTCTATTAGGAGACACACAGTTGCACTTATGTCCTTCATATTGAATCTAAGTAGGACTTCTGCAAAATTGGGCTTCCAGATGAACACCTTTGACTGCCTTTATACTAATTGGATGTTTCCTCATTTTATAGACTTTTCTTGTTCGTGTGACGCCTGTTCTAGCAATTTCACAGAGATGCTCTGGACCGATTATATGATACAAGCTTCCTTCTTACCTAGTAATCCCATAAGTCCATCATCTTTGGTATATGATGCCATCCATGGTACATCCAGCACTCTACCAGCTTTGAGCAGATTTTCAGGTAGGTCTTCTAAGAATGGCTTCTTAGCATACTTGTCTACCACTGGTTGGAATAAACAGAAAGGCATACCACCATAGTAATGCAATCTTCCAGTATGCACCACTAGCTGACTGGCGGGTCGAGATTTCAAGCACATCACCATTTTCTTTGTATCATCCATCTCACAACCGACAGATTTTGCTAGGCGCCTAGCGTTTTTCAGTGGATTCAGCCTTATTGTCCATGGGTTTAATGCAGATCCGCTCAGTGATATTCCTCTAAGATGACAAAAAAATGGCAGCAAGTAGGTTGACTCTGAAACTCCCACGCATCGGCGTTATCAATTCTTAAATGATTATGTTCAGCAAAAATTAAACCATCTGAGAAGAAAGTCCTTAGAATTTTTTCCCTACACTACCGGTATTGCAACTGGAAACGTCGATTCTCCCCGATACTTAACGCCGCCGCGCGCCGGGAATAGCAACCGCGGCCGATAATTAAGATAAGCATTTACCACCCCCTACAACTACCACCTCCCCCAAGTATCTTAACCTGTAAATTTTTTTCAGATATTATCAGGATTCTCTGAAACGTCAAAAAGCGAAGTCTGGACAATTTTCTTCTGTCTTTCTGTTTCGTTTTTGGCCTGTTCCTCTGCCAACACTATATGGATATCCAAATACCGCAAAGCTTTTGCATCCTATGCATAGTGGTAATATTGTAATGAAATCCGAGAGGTACTTCTCAAGTTATAGGCGGTTTTAAGATTAGCGGACATATCGACAGTCCGACGGAAATGAGTGGCATGGTTTTTTTGATGTACATGTCATATAACATCCAAAAAACGTAATATCTCATTTTCAAAGAATTTCTCAATTGCAATACTTCGCCATAAGTAGGCCTGGGTAGTAAAAAATTGTTTGTTTTGCCAATAATGTCATCAGAAATGGTGCTATACTACATAAGATATTTTGGTAAATTACTCGATTTTTACACAACCTTACTGGCATTCAATAGTTTTCGACATTTTTCACTATAAATGGTGCGTTTGAGTCTAAATAATAATTTGTAGAGTTTGTACTTAAATTAAGTGAATGCAATCACAAAAAGTGCAAAAATGCTATGCACAATAAAATAATGGCCATTCTGAGAAATGAAATAGCTTTTGTGCTCAGTTTTCATTAGAACAAGGCTATATCTTGCAGTAAAAATTACTAATACATTGAGTATACAATTTACTAAAGAAACTTGCCTATATTTTCAGCTTGCCAAATTGTTATTGAATATTCAATAGAGAATATGCACGTGATTCAAATATTGCGAAATGGAGTCCGATCCTGTATTTGCAGCGTCTGACAACAAATTAACCGCTCTTATAAAAATCAAGGTTTTAGTAGTGTTCTACTGGTTATAAAAATACAGTCAGTGCGCCAAGAAGAACGTAACAACTGATTGGCACCGTGAGTACCCTTTGGGCCACTTTCTGATAATAGTTCTGCGTTAAAACCCAATAACATCATAAACATACTGGTAAATTAATCAAACTCCTGGCCGCATACCTTTCCATTTGCGGACAGGACCGTATCTAGAAGAATGTCATATCGTCTTCACCCAGAGCTAACTAGAAACATTTAATATGATTACTCAAACTATGACAAGTAACCCTACCACATCACAAAACCCTACGCCCAAGTCATACTCAAAAGTTGTCTCCCAACACAGCGAAAAACATCCTAACAAAGAACAAGCAATAGTTTTCAGCACTATAGAGGGAGCTAAACTACAAGACTATCTTCTGAAATTAGGTCCAGTGGTAGAGCTCAAAAACATTATATTTTGCTCAAGGATCTCGAACAACAGAATATGTGTTTACCTCTCAAGTAAAAGTTTGGTTGACCAGTTCATACAACAGCATGGAGAATTAACCGTAAATGGAGAAATAATAAAAGTTCGTCGCCTAGTTACCCCCTCTGATAGACTGGTAATATCGAACGTTTGTCCGACCATCCCGCATGCAGTTCTAAACGACGCGCTGCAAAAATTGCATTTAAAGCTTTTATCTCCAATTTCATTCCTCAGAATTGGAGCCACTCTAGCGGAGTACAGTCACATTTTGAGTTTTAGGAGGCAAGTTTACATAGCACCTTCAGAGAATACGGATATCCCAGAATCCATAGAGATAACGCACAACGATCTGACCTATCGTATATTTCTTACTTTAGACAGTCAAAAGTGCTACAAATGTAAACTTATTGGACATATTGCTTCACAGTGTCCATCGATCCAGATTTCGCAGACTTCCACAGAATCAGAGACCCTCAACGATGAACTGTCAAACCCATCCGAAAATCAAGTAGTATCAGATATAACTACAGAAGATTCCACCACAGCCCACATACATCTGCCCAAAGAAAATACCAAAGCAATTACGAACAAAAACAGGCACCAACATCCTCAAAACACTAACACAAACATCAATAGCCTGTACGGCGAAGGAACACCGAATAATGACGAATTAATAACTCCAAGCATATCCTCCAAAAGGAGCTTCTCAGAAATACTAACACCAACGGAAGACACAGGTGCACCTCAAAGCTATCAAGTAACATTCACCAAACCGACTGCAGATAACATCAAGAAACACAAACCTGATCAGGAATTAACAATACCCATAAAAAGCAGCCTTGAACCTATCAAAAATTTGATAGAGACTCAGCAGACGGTACTGAACATCGATCAGCTCACCAGTCTGTTGGAAAATGTACATGGAGCTAAGGATGCCATTAATGTAGTAAACAACTATACCTCAGATTTCAGAGCTCTTATAGAAATGCTTCTCCTAATTTACCCCCATTTGACAAACCGCACAATAAAGAACAGATGCACAAGATTAAGGAAAAAATTGGAACACCACATCGATCAAACGGTAGGATCACTAAGCGACACGTCATCCATAGATTCGACGTTTTAATAACAATAAAATTCACGTCAATTCTACAATGGAATTTAAATGGATATCTTATCCATTTGACCATGCTTCGAAAGTTATTAACTGATCACAAACCAGATATCATTTGCCTACAGGAAACTCACTTTAGTGACAGTAAAACACACACGCCTAAGCAGTATATAGGTTATTTCAAAAATAGGAATACGGGAACAGCAAGTGGGGGAGTGGCTATATATACGAAGTCGTATATGCAATCTAGTCAAATCAATCTCGTTACTAATTTAGAAGCTGTAGCAGTTACCATAGAAGATGGAGAGAAGGTCAATATCTGCAATGTATATATCCCACCTAACTACTTTTTGGATAAGAAAGAACTGGAAGACTTGATACAACAAGTTCCCGCTCCTCGCATAATTATTGGAGACTTTAACGCACATGAGTATACGTGGGGATCCTTCAAACATGACCAACGAGGAAACATAGTAAGAGGCATCCTGGACTCAAGCCACCTAGCCTTGCTGAACGACGGTAACTGTACTAGATTCGACGCCGCATCAGGAAGACTCTCCGCAATCGATTTGAGCCTATGCACCCCCGGCCTGCTAACTCACCTACATTGGAGTACAGAAGATGACTTATATGGAAGCGATCATTTCCCAATACTTATATCAAACAATAAAAACAACAAAAACACTGAATCAACGCCTCCTCAAAAGTGGAGATTAAAGCAAGCTAATTGGCATTCATTCTCACACTATATAGATAGTAACCTTGACCGCAATATAAAATCTCATGTCAGCATAGACTCTATAGTGGAACAGCTCAACAAGACTATAACTGATGCCGCACAACATATCCTAGGTAAAACCACCCACGTAAAAAATATAAATCCTGTGCCTTGGTGGAACAACGCATGCGAATCTGCACTCAAAGAGAGTAAACAAGCGGTCAATAAGCACAAAAGACACAAAAATCTCAATACATTAAGGAACCTTCGGAACAAACAGGCCAAATTAAGACTAATAACTAGAAAAAACCAAAACAATCGTGGCAGAATTACGTCAGTAGCATTACTTGTAACACACCAATGCCCAAAGTATGGAAAAAGGCGAGAAGCATTTCTGGAACTAAGACTTACTCACCAATAAGATGTCTAAAAGACGGTGAAAACACTGTCACTGAAAGTCATCAAATATCAGAAATATTACTCCAACTACAGCAATGGAAACTACTGTTCAGACTTTACGAACTACAAACTAAATGCAGAATCAGTGATAATCCCCAAAGAAGACAACAGCGATCCAATCAACCTACCCATCACAGAATTAGAGTTCTTGAATGCACTCAACGACCTGAAAGATACTGCTGCAGGACCAGATGACATTCCGCCTATTTTCCTAAAGAAACTTCCCCCGTCTGCTCATAACCGCTTATTACACATATTCAACACCATCTGGACAACGAACGTTTTCCCCAAAATATGGGGACAAGCAATAACAGTTCCTATCCTGAAGTCTAATAAATCACCCCAGCTACCAGAATCGTACAGGCCTATATCACTAACCTGCTGTATGTGCAAGCTTCTTGAGAAAATAATTAACCGCAGGCTTATGTGGAGTCTCGAACATAAAAACCTATTAGCCTACCAACAAGCTGGTTTCAGATCAAATAGATCTACTATAGATAATATAATAGACTTAGAAACCCACATCCATGAAGCATTCTCGGACAATCAACATTGTATGGCAATTTACTTTGATATCAACAAAGCGTTTGATACAGCCTGGAAATACAACATCATTTCTAAACTCCACAAATGGGGATACAATGGAAACATTCTATCCTTCATTTCCAACTTCCTCGACAACAGATGTTTCCAAGTACGAACAAATGGTGTACTGTCGGAACAAAAACAACAGATCAACGGAATACCTCAAGGCTCTATTATTAGTCCAACTCTATTTCTTATAGCACTTAACGACGTATTTGTGAGGGGAAAGAACTTGACAACAAATGCATCGTTATTACAACCTTACCTGAATAAGCTGGAATACTGGTCTAAGCAGACAGGATTTACCTTTTCAACAGAGAAAACAACTTGCATCATTTTCTCGAAGAAGCTTGTGCGTGACAAGCCCACTTTAAAGTTGTGCAATAAGATTCTAAAGTACACCAGCGACATCAAATTCTTGGGAATCACATTTGATAATCGATTTAATTGGAAGAAACATATAACAGATGTCATTCAGTCTTATCAAGCAGGGATCAACATGCTAAAGTACCTATCAAACAGACACTGGGGGGCTGAAAGTAAGACACTGCTTACTA